GGCAGAATCAGCCTGCAATACTACATTCTCACCAACTCAAGGTTGACTCAGCCTTCCATCCTTCCGAGGTCAGTAAAATGAGGACCCAGATTGTTGGGGGGCCAACAGGCTGACTCTGTAAACTGCTTCGAGAAGGCTTTAAAGCACTGTGAAGCGGTATATAAGTCTAAGTGCTGTTGCTATAGTTGAGTGGAGAATTGTATGTAGTCGAGGGAATTGATTAAAAAAAAGATCACACTTTGGCATCTCTAGTTTAAAAGATCAGAAAGCTCAGGGTCAGGCAGATTACACCCAGATTATATGTGTTATTCCGCTTAGAGTGGGCTGTAAACCACTATGAAGTGGTATATAAGTGTAAGTGCTATTGCTGTGGTTTGTGGAACCAGCATGGACCATTTCCATGGTAGGAAAGATAGAACTGCACGTGGGGGAGGGGTTGTCTCTTGAAAGGAAGCACACGTTGAAAAATAGTCCTTGAATTGCAACCATTTGTTTACCAAACATTCAAAGTTACAAAGGCATTGAAAAAGTTACTTACAACCGGTCCTCACATTTACAACCGTCGCAGCGTGCCCATGGTCATGTGGTCAAAATTAGGACATTTGGCAACTGGCATGTATTTAATATGAGGGTTGCATCATCCCAGGGTCACGTGATTGGCGTTTGCAATCTTCCCAGCCAGCTTCTGACAAGCAAAGTCAAGGGGATTTGTATAATAAGTGCGTGATTCACCTATGAATTGCAGTGACTCACCAACAAACATGACAAAGGTGGTTTTAAAATTGGGCATGATTCACTTAGCAACTGCCTTACTTAAGCAATGGAAATCCTCATCCCAATTGTAGTCATAAATAAAGGACTCCCTTTACACCACGCTGTATTTTGTTCACTTTGTATATAGGCATCTCATTTCTATGCTGGGCTTCTTTGTATAGCCTAAAATCTTAACATCTATTCATACAGTTGAAGAAACAAAATGTAAAACACATCCAAACAAAAGGAAGCCTATCAACCCTGGAAGCCGATAGCCAGTATTATTATGAGATGCCAGGTGTTAAGATAAAGAAACAAATGTTTTCAGCATAACCGAAGTGGCCTCTTAATGGAGTGGTGCATATTGGTCTCTGTATAAATATTGCTAGGTGTGCATTTTGACGCAATGAAGCATTTATAAAAGTTTGATGTACTGAAATGTCTATAAAGGGATGGCTGACTAAATTTTTGTGGCTTTCTCAACGTCCCCAAAGGAAGAATTACCCAGTCCAACATTCCAGCTTCATTTCATTCTCCGTCAGCTCAAAAATACGTCCATCCATTCAAAATTCTCTCCATGCTTTCATTCAGCTGGAACCCCAACAGATCTAGCTTTCCTTTTCTGATCTTCTTCCAATCGTGGTGAGGTCTCATTCAGGAACGGAGAGAGAAGCCCAGTGGATGCGCTCTAGACCAGGAGTCCCCGGTCCATGGACCGGTACCGGGCCGCAGCATGCCAGCAACCAGACCGCACAATCAAAGCCCCATCCATGGGATGCAGGCAGTACACAAAACCACACATTCCGGTCTGCAGAAAAAACTCTCTCCACGGAACCGGTCCCTGGTGCCCAAAAGGTTGGGGAATCTCTCTTCTAGACCATTCGTTGCCTGCATGCATTTGTAGTCTTCATGGAGCATTTGGTGGCTTGAAGATTAAAGGGAAGTATCTGTTAGAATCCACTAATGGGCAGAGGGAAAAGCAGAACAGAGGCTTGGGTTGGGTTGGAAGCTGAAAATCTGTCTTCACAAGTGGGCGAGCAGAATCTGTGCCCTACCATTTCCTCTACATAATGTTATTTCTGCCATCAGTCGCAGCCACCCTTTTCCTTCAAGTCTCTGTGCAATCTTTGTTCTCTCCCACGCAGACCTCTGCAGCTGCTTGGCTGGAAAATGTTTGTTTTCAAACTGGGGGTGGATGAAGGCATGGAGGAGGAGGTGGAGGTGGAGGAGGAGGTTCATATTTTCTACCTGCACTTATCTCATTGGAACTTGAATGTTGCTTCTGTGGAGTAAGCAGGTCAAGCATCCACTAGGACAGTAGTGGCGAACCTATGGCATGGGTGCCAGAGGCGGCACTCGGAGCCCTCTCTGTGGGCACACGTGCCGTTGCCCCAGCCTCGCCTCCCCCCACGACCTCCTCCTCTCCAGCAGCCCCCCTGAAGGAGAGTCGCCCCTGAGCGTGGCCCACCCGAAGCAGCGCAGCCAAGGACATGGCAGCCAGGCAGCGTAGACAAGACTCTGCCCTCACACCCCATCATGCACAGTTGATGCTGCAGGGTGCAGGCAGAGGGCATGACCGCCAGAGCGCTGCTGGGCTGCCTGGGCGATCTGCGATGGGCCCTGGAGGCAGTGAGTGGCCCTGCGGGCAGGCAGGGCGGGGGATGGGGGGTGGAGCAGGGGTGGGGCCAGTTTTTGGGCACTCGGTCTCTAAAAGGTTCGCCGTCACTACACTAGGAATATAGGACCCCAGCCTCCCCATCTCCATGGCCAGCAAAAACCAAGGAACTTAAAATTGTTGGCTTTACTGGCACATTAATTATAGTATTTTGTATTTTTGTAATTGTTTTATCTGGCTGTTAGCCGCCCTGAGTCCGTAAGGAGAAGGGCGGGATATAAATACAATAAACTAAACTAAACTAAACTAAACATTAGTGATCCATCGCCCTGTGACGGTAGCATCAGTTCCACATTTCTAAGTATGCATCAGGAAAAGTGTGTTCCTCTATTTCTAGGCCAAGACACATTGGAATTGGAAGGGACACTATCTTTTTCACCCCAAGGAAATAAGATTACCCGCTCTCCAAGCATTTTCTGAGCTATGATGATGATGATAATAACATACTGTGTGCATTTCATGCCGCTTATGTTCGAGACTGCTACTCCAGACGTTATTTCTAATTAGGTCCCACTTCAGGAGCTCTGTTGAGATAGGTCAAAAAAGTGCAGGAAAATACAGGGGAGGCAAGGGGATTGTTAACTTGGTTCAGCCCAGCTTACAAGATCTACTGAAACAAAAAAAAAAATCAGCTGGGGAAAATTGTTTTTGCTGGAGGGAAAGGGTTCAACACCCCATCACCCACTGACAGCTACCTGATCATTATCAGCCCCACCCAATAGCTGATGTTTGCATTTTTTAAAATTGCATGTTAATTGCAAAATACGGTTAATGTTGTGTCTACGTGATCCTTGGGTTGACACCCCCCCTTCATCTAGTCTGCCAGTATCATGAGTTATCTGCCTTGCATAACTTTTGCGTCCTATGTCGTGTGAACTCACGAATCTGCCTCGTGATCAGTGCCAGCCCCACACACAGTTTACTGTGTAGATTGAAGGACATATTGCCCGTCACCAGCTCCTTGCATTTAATAATAATGATGATGATGATGATGATGATGATGATGATGATGATGATGATGATGATGATGATGATGATAAAGTTGGAAGGGACCTTGGAGGTCATTTATAGATGCCATGTGAATCCTTCATAGGCAGCATCCTCTATCAGACTGAAGGATGGAAGTGTAGTTTGAGTGGCGGAAAGGACTGGCCATTGGTGGCTATCTGTGGTGGAATCTCCAGCTAGACTGGAGGGGAAGGCTGTTAAGAGGGGGCCAAGCTCAGAGTCCTGAACGCTGCAGAAAGCAACTCAGGTCTGACCTCATCCAAAATCCCTTATCTAACCATTCCCAAGGAAATGCATTCAGTCTGATCAGATTCTTGTAAAATAGGTGACTAACAATAAAGCTTCTGCTTGAGACTGTCTACTGTTCTGGTTGTTTGCTCCTGACATTATCACAGCCCTTTCCTCTCCTTATAAGCGTTTTTTCCTTAACACAGTGGCCTTATTGTCTAATAGCAATAGCACTTAGGCTTATATACCACTTCATAGTGTTTTACCCTCTCTGAGCGGTTTACAGAGTCTGCATGTTGCCCTCCAATTATCTGGGTCTTCATTTTACCGATCAAGGAAAGATGGAAGTTTGAGTCAACCTTGAGCTGGTCAGAATCAAACTCCCGGCAGTGGGCAGAGTCAGCCTGCAAGATTGCATTCCAATCACTGCACCACCACAGCTCTTATGCTACAGCAGCCCTGGTATAATCTATCAGAAGGATTGCTACCTGGTTCAGTATGGTGTATATTACTGATACGGTCGTCCAGCACTTCCAATGAACTCCTTTTATCTTTTCCTTGAGATCTTTAATATGCAAAGCCACGCTTCACTCGGCTATATGGAGGGAGAGAAAAAGATTGCTCCTATAGCCTTCCAGAAGATTGGGAAGCTTATTACTTATTTGTCTGAAATGGTATAGGGTTTCCTGCCTGAGCAGGGGGTTGGACTAGGTGACCTCCAAGGTCCCTTCCAATTTTATTATTATTGCTGCTATTATTATTATTATTATTATTATTATTATTATTATTATTATTATTAGACGTGAACCTCAGTCAACTGAACATTCAAATTGACTGGTGCTGATGGTTGACACGGGTTGTTGCCAGCATCCTAGGTGTCAACCAGGTACCTCCTTAAAATGTAAGATGTTCCGAGTAGCGCAGTTTTTTGTGGCATTGCTGGAGTTATTGCAGGAAGGTGCAATTTCTTGAAATATTTTGCAAACGTTTTTGGACATAGTTCCCAGTGCCCCGATGACAATGGGTATCACTGTTACACGTTTCATCCATAATCGCGCAGTTTCGATGGCCAGGTCGTGATATTAATAACATAATAATAATTATTATTAATAAAATTATTATTGTTGTTATTATTATTATTATTATCTGCCTTTCTCTCATTTATTCTCATGTTCTTCTTCTCATCCGTTCAGGGTTGCTGCTTTTCAGCACAGTAAGGCTTTGGCTATGACCACACTACCCTTGCCTCCCAGCAGTCTGGACAGCCTGGTGGAAAACAGTCCTTGGGTGGTCTTTCTTGGACACTCTCTCTGCTTCTCTACTCAAGGACATCATCATGGGAAGTGTCAGTAGCCTCATCTCCGGACACAGCTTCCACAGTAAACATTGTCGGGCCTCTCAGTATAAGCTGCGTAAGTCATCCCAACTGAAGAAGCTGAACAGGTACTCCGATGGTCTGCTGAAGTTCGGCTTCTCCCAAGAAGCTGGCCACAAGAAGTCCAGCTCCAAGGGCAATAAGAACGAGGACTTCTTTTATATCAAGGTGAACCAGAAGGCACACCGAACGGACTATGCTCCACTCTCGGGTGGTGAGCTGGAAGGTCAGGCTGGGACCAGCAGCGTGGATTATGGTACCCCAACACCCCCCAAACTGAAGCCAGGCTCCAACCAATTGGAACTAGTGAGTTGAGTTAAACTTGGTCATTAGAGTTCAGGGGTAGGAAACGGGTAGCCCCAGACTCAACGTAGAATTCTTGGGTCCCCGCTTCTGTAGACTTCGGAGTCCTCGTTAATCAGGATGGTCGAAAACTGAAAAGCCAATTTCTAACTATTTTGAAGTAAGGCCATATGGAAACTGTATAACCTAAAGTGGCCATATCAACATTAAAAAAAAACCAAGAAAACCACCCAAATTTTGCAGTCTTTATTCTCCAAACTATATTAAGGGCAGCCTCTGTATAGATCAGGGGTAGTCAACCTTGGCTCTTTTATGACTCGTGGACTTCAACTTCCAGAATTCCTGAGCCAGCTATGCTGGCTCAGGAATTCTGGGAGTTGAAGTCCACGAGTCATAAAAGAGCCAAGGTTGACTACCCCTGGTATAGATGGACTCTTTTGGCTTTGGGAATCAAATGATGAAGTAATGTGGAATATACTCAAGATTTATCCTGTGTGTTGGTCAGCCATTCAGACAACACCATCTGACTATTGGATTAGCCAATTTTCTGGATTTGTACAATGCCCCGAATCTTTAATTAAATAGACGGGCTAGATGCACACGTAATATTCTAGGCAGTTAAGAAAAACAACCTAAAGCTACTTGGCGTAGCATGTTGTGTAAATACAACGGCTTCATTTGGGAAGCCTACAAACAGAATTGTAAATATAAAGGGGGGGGGGAGACTTCCAAAAATGTAAGGGTGGAAAAAATTAAAAATGAAAACATCAATGTCTCCCCATCCTCATTCAATTAAAATCAAGTGCCTGCCCATCATGGCTATAAATGAGGTCACCCATGTGACCAACCTGATTTTAGGACCTTTTTTGTGACAGCTGATAAAGCAAACACCATTGAGTGAACTAATGGTTCGCTATAAGCTGTTTTTTCCAAAAAACCAGAAGTAGCCCATCATCAAACATGGTCACATGACGGTGGAACTTTGCAAATGGCCATAAGTGCAGTCCAGTTGACCAACACCCAACATGCAGTTATGTGACTGTGGGGTGGGCAGGGCTGACCATCGTAGCTTCAAAATTGGGTCACGAGTACTTTTAGGAAGGACCATTGTAACTTCAAATAATTGCTAAGCAAATGGTCATAAGTGGAGGAGTACCCCTAGCTATAGAGGAAACCGCATTAACTAATCTCTCCTTCTCCCCAGGCTTCAGAGAAGACTGTGGCAAGGCCCACTGCTTTTAAACCAGTTCTCCCTCGCTCCAACACGGTTCTCCATTCTTCTCCTGATCACGGCAATGCTGCTCAGCAGCTCCCATCCCAAGACAAAGCCAAGGATCTGGAGAGTAAGCCCGCTCTTTGTTCTGGAGGGCTTTCAGATTCAGGGAGAAACTCTATGTCCAGCCTGCCCACACACAGTACAGCCAGCAGCTACCAGCTGGACCCCTTGATCACTCCCGTTGGCCCCATCAGCCGATTTGGAGGCTCTGCTCACAACATCACTCAGTGTGCCGTCCTGCAGGAGAGTAACATGATGAGCTTGAAAGCTCTGTCTTTCTCCGATGGGGGCACCAAGATCCTCAACCCGGGCAAGTCTTCCACTCATCCTCACATGACGGAGAACAGCGTTTGTGTTCGCTCACCCATCTCCACGGAGGAGTCCGCCATTCAGGAGCTGGAGCAGAAGCTGATGGAGCGGGAGGGTGAGCTGCAGGAGCTCCAGTGCAGCTTTGAAGAGAAGGAGATCGCCTCCTGCCAAAACTACGAGGAGAAGCAACGGCGCTGCCGGGAGGAGATGGAAGGGTTGAAGCAGAAATGCAACAACAAACTGAAGCAGACCTCGCAGAAGAACCAGCGGGCGCAACAACTCTTGCAGCTGCAGGTGTTCCAGCTGCAACAGGAGAAGAAGCAGCTGCGGGAGGAGCTGTCCAACCTGATGAAGGAGCAGGACCTTCTGGAGAACAAGCTGAGGACCTATGAGAAAGAGAAAACCAACTTTGCTCCTGCTCTAGAAGAAACACAGTGGGAGGTAAGACTCTACTCCATCTTTGTAAAGGGGAAACTTGTTCAGTCTTCTGTATTTTCTAGGCCAGGGGTAGGCAACCTTGGCTCTTTTATGACTCGTGGACTTCAACTCCCAGAATTCCTGAGCCAGCATGGCTCAGCTTGGAAACCTCTCCCTTTTCCCTCAGCATGGCTGGCTCAGGAATTCTGGGAGTTGAAGTCCACCAGTCATAAAAGAGCCAAGGTTGCCTACCCCTGATCTAGTCAAAATTAAAGGTAAAAGTAAAGATTTCCTCTGTCCGGTTGTGTCCAACTCCAGGGGGTGGTGCTTATCTCAGTTTCTTAGCCGAGGGAGCCAGCATTGTTCGAAGACATTTCTGTGGTCATGTGATCAACATGGCTATATGCCAAGGTGTATATAGTATACGGAACACTGTTACCTTCCCACCAAAGTGGTACCTATTTATCTACTCGCATTTGCATGCTTTTGAACTGCTAGATGGGTAGGCGCTGGAGCCAGGACCAGGCACTCATTCCGTCATGCAGCATTCAGGCCTCAAACCCAGGCTGTCAGCTTTAACCTCTGAGCCATCATGCTTCCTTAATCAAAAGTAATACTGGTCTAAAAATGTTTTTAGTACAAAACCAGGACATAATGATGATGATGATGCTAAATGGAATTCCCAAAGCAGAGATGTCACAGCCTGCGAATTGCCATATATTCCCTGCAATGGTATTTTAGATAAAAATGAAACAAATTGAAAGTTTCCTTTGGATGATTTTGTCCAGCATGAGCAATCTGTGCTTGTCTCTCTGATTTTAGAGACCTTCTCAAGCAATGAGCTTGTTCACCAGCTCCCTGCAAAGAGAGAAAAGGGCCTTTTACTTTTCACTGGGGCTCGGCCTTCTTCTTCTAGCTTCACCTTCATAGTTGATCCACGAAGAGATGCAGTCTTTGACCTGACATAAAGCTACCCCATACTTAGCACCACCCATTTTCCTGCTTTGCTGCAGACTGAATTGCAATACAATCTAGATTTCTGGAGGTGGTCCTGATTCTGATATTATGTGTTCCTACAGGTTTGTCAGAAATCTGGTGAGATATCTCTCCTGAAACAGCAACTGAAAGAATCCCAGGCAGAGGTCAACAGCAAGACCAACGAGGTCCTCAATCTGAAGGCTCAGCTGAAGGACGTCCGGGCCAAGATGGAACTGTTGGAGATGAAAATCCAGGATTTGGAAGATTCGTTGCATGCCAAACCCATGGAACTAGAGGTGTGTGAGAATGAACTCCAGCGCAAGAAGAATGAGTCAGAGCTACTAAGGGAGAAAGTGAACTTGCTGGAGCAGGAGATTGCAGAGTTGAGAACTGAACTGACCATCCTCAGGGAGGAGATGAAATGTGGTGTGGCTTCTTCCATGGGTCTTGAGGAAAGCATGGCGGAGGATGCCCAAGTCTTGTGGAGGGAAATAGAGAAGCTAAAAAAAGAACTGCAGGAGGAACAGGACAGCAACAAGCAGATCACGGTCAGCTTTCAGCAGGAACGGCAGACCTGGAAGGAGGAGAAAGAGAAAGTGATCCAGTACCAGAAGCAGCTGCAGCAAAGCTACCTTCACATGTACAAAAGAAACCAAAACCTGGAGCAGATGCTTCAGCAGCTGGCGGCTGGGGAGGATGGTAAAGACCCCTTAGATCTTGATCTCCATGGAACCGATGTCCCTTATGAGGACATTATTGCCACTGAAATCTGAAGGGTGCCTGTGTTTTCCTGCCCACTGGAGAAAGATCTCACTTGGGGTTGTATGTATAATTTCACAGAGCACTTTTAATGGAGGTCTTTTGTCTTGGTCAAAACAAGTCAACAGCCATTGTCCATGCATTTCCCCCCACCCCCTCCAAACTTCTTTATTCAGATGTATCTGACTGCTCTTGCAGGGCCTTCCATTGAGAAAAGGGAAGGGAAGAATTCCCAACTGACTTTTTCCCTCACGGCATGATCCAACATAGGTGCAGCTTTTACAAGAACCTCTGAGCCATAAGTAATATGAGATAAGACCTGCTTGTACTCTTTAAGACCTTCTGAATTCCCCTGTGAGAGGACTCTGCGGGGGGGGGGGGGGGGAAGCACCCCC